GTGAGCTCAGCTGCAAAGAGTGCATGGAAGTTCCTAAGACATCACAATAACTTATAACAACACGTGTCGATGGGAAAAGGTACGAAAGGGCAAAAAACCCAAATTAGTCCAAACAAAACAGCCTCCAGATATAGCTCAAAGACTGAGTTATGTTAGAAATCAGAGAACCAAAACTGGGGTAGGAAACCAGGCCTAACTGGCAGACAACATAACGAGGGGATGGGCTGTTCCACCCATCATCCCTTTTCAGGTCCATATAGGGAGAGGTTTTGGGGGAAGCGATAGAAGAACAGAGGGAAGCTACTGGAATGAGTTCCACCATCCTGGCTGCCACCCCAACCATCTCCAGGGACCCTGGACCTTCTTCCTCCTGGTCCTGAGAGGTGGTCAGAGAGAAGGACCCAGCTGACATCGCCACCCCTACTGGCTCCGGCTCACCCCCAACCACCACGCGGGATAAAGCAGGATTAGACTTAGCAGCAGCCCCGGCCCATCTCAGCTAACTTCATCTCTTCTCCCCAAAAGGACAGTTATCACTGGCTTCTACCATCTCAGAGACTGGTAAACTTTTCCTTCCACAAACTCCCTCTGGCGAAAGGGAAAGGGGAGGTTACAACAGGAAAAGCTTTACTCAGCATTTTACTTTCCACTGGCTGTAGCTGTTTTTCCTGGTTTTCTGTGTCCTTAACAAAAGTTAACGGGACGCTCAGCAGTGCGTTTGCCATGGTGCGAAGCAGGCGGAGGTCTCTGCGTACCAAACCCAGAGCTTGTGTAACGCTGGGTAGTGACTGGGTTATGTTCGCCCCTTAGCCCAGACATTCCCTCAAACACAACAGAGCAGATCAGCAGTTCTTCCGGAGACTCCATGCTGTTTCTACAGCTGATGCAGTCCACGGGCAGGAGTGCTCGTGTAAACGCGCCGGGTCGCCAGCCCTGCTCTGAGCAGGGGCACACGAGAGGTGGCTACGCCTGCCAGCCACTGCTGTACACAAAGGGAACATCTACACCCCATGCTCCTTTCGGCAGCACTGAGCATGCGTACATTACACGCACCCCTAGAACAGTGCAGTGAGGCACAGTGGCCTCCCTCCCCACGGGCGCGCGAGGGACCACGACCCTCCCCGCCCCCTCGTGCCCGGGCGGGGCAGGGAGTATAAAAGGAGGGCTCTGCAGCTCAGTTGGGCCCCAGTGGAGGAGAGGGACGCCGCTGCCCTGCTGCAGCACCCGGGAGCTGAACCTGTGTTCGGCCGCACCCTGCCCCCAGAGGAGACAGACCCAGCTGAGGAGTTGCCGGGACTGCCATCGGCTGTGTACACAGAGGAGCTCAATAACCAGTGGACACCAGAAGTACCAAACCCCGGGGAGGTAGGAAGAAGCCCAGGGGCAGCTGACGACTGGCCAGCTACAGGGCTCATCACTTCTGGGTTGGAGTGTTGCAGCTGGATCCCTGCCGACCCAGTGGCGTACCAGTCTGCCACAGCTAAGGCCCTGGGCTGGGATGCGGTGGAGTTGGGCAGGCCCGCATCCCCCTGCCACCCTTGCCCTTCGGTGGCCGACTCCCCACTTTAGGCCAGCAGGCCTGTGCTCCTTGATCCTCCCCCCCAGCACCCTAGACTGCCCGTTGGGTGCTCAGCCTCTCTGAAGCTCCTAGACTGTGTGGGTTATCCTCCCTATCTGAACCCCGAGACTGTGAGTTTGCTGGCTCCCTTAGCCCACTAGCTGAGGCTAAAGTCTGCTCCCTGCTCTGCCCCACCCACAGGGCTAGAGCTATTGACTGGGTGTGTTTGCCAGCTGCCGGAGGCTTAGGCTACAGCCGGCTATCAGCCCAGCCCCGTGGGCTGGGGCCCCAGACTGTTAATTGGTGTCAGCCCCAGCTGAGAGGCTGGGGGCTAACGACTACATCAGGCTCTGACCCGCCCACGGGTAGGGACAGGAGCCCCAGACTGTTGTGGTGTTTGCCTCTGGTAGACGGGCCCAGAACCACAGACTACGTACAGCTCGGCCCCGCAGACCACCGCCCCTGACAACACTGGAGGGCGAGGGACCACTACCTATGGGTGCAACCAGCGGTGTGGACAGGGAGAGTAAGGACACGCCTGAACCTTGTGGGAACGTACCCGAATAGGTCCCTATAGGGACCTGTACTCGCCCAACCAGGGCCTCCCACGTCTACTTGCTATCTTGAGCAGCAGTGTCCCACTGCCAGAGCATTTCCCCACCGCAGCGAAAGCCTCCAGCAGTGAGGAAAGGCTCTGGCAGGAGGCAGGCAGTGGGAAAGGTGCCAGCAGTGGGGAAAGGCTCTGGCACCCCCCGGCAGAGCTGCACCGGGGGAAATGGAACGGAAAGCCAGTTAGTGTAGATGGCCTCAGAGTCTGGTGACAGGAGCAGTGTGTCCTGAAGGAGGAGCTAATCGAACACCAGACTCTGCGTTGTAAGGAACCTGGGTGCTCAGCCCAGTACCGCAACAGGCTGGAGACAGGCAGAGCCATACAGCTTGGCTCCACCGTCTTCCTGCCTCTCTGGGTAACATCTGTGGGGCCACCTACCTAGTGCCAGTCTGGGGGTTCCTAACCTTGGGAGAGGTCTGGCTTCAGTCAGAAGGGGACAGATGGATGAGGACAAGTGACCCGCACCAAAGTCAGACAGGAGATTCTGAATTATCCAGGTGGGAACGTAACATGCTCCCCACCAAAAATGTAAGGGGCACAAGTCATCCTCTGTACCTGGCGGTGAGGAAAAGCCATCTCGTCACAGAGAGTTTGTCCAGCCAGCCATGTCCTCGGCCACAAGAACCTGAGGTCCAAGACATATCCATGTGCGGCTGTGAGCCCAACAACTTACAAACAGCAACACCACCCCCTCAAACATCTGCCCCACCCCCGGGACACCAAACACCTGTGAAGCCAGGAGCAGAGAAGGCTGGCAGAACAGGGCCCAGAGCTCCCGGCAGTGAGTCGCGAGCAGCTCAGACCCACTGCCTGATTTACAGAGGGCTTTTAGGACACAAGGGCCACAGCTGTTTTCCCAGCACTCCGCTGTCGCTATCGGCTAATACATTTCACATCCGTTCAGCTCACTGCTCAGTGAGATTCAGGACCCAACTCTGGGAGGGCTGCGGCAGACTCACCGGGAGACCACGGCGCGACCCCACTACCACTCAGACTCTGCCTGAGCTGCTCCGAGAGCTGGCTGGAGAATAACTTGGTTGCATGGAGCCGGTGACGTCGGGGCACCCGCGAGGAGCAGACACCAGTGGGGCTTGGGCTATTCCACGCTGGCCTGGCTGGGCACCATAAGGGCATCCCTCACCTGGAAGGGAGCCCCAGTGCAGCATATTCCTTCCACAACGAGCCTGGGTCATGGGAAGCACCAAGATTTAGGCACCGGGCGGAGAAGTGTGGAGGGATAAATAGAAGTGTGAATAAAATGAAGAGAAAGCTGAACTGGAGCCAGTTGTGTTGCCTTCCTCCTCCATCGTGACTCAAAGGCTCAGCTGCCCATGCCACGTGGGATCTCCCTAGGGCCCGGCGGAGGGAAGAAAGCCAAGGTCTGTTTGTAAGCCAACAGCCAGGACTCCATGACTGCCTGCCAGCGACCCCTCTCTGCACCCTGGCAGGAGGAAGGAGGGTCTCCAGTGAGAGCAGAGATGTACAAACAAGCACCGGGGTGTGCACGGCTGCAGTCCCAGCTGCTTACGTGGCCCCAGCACCGGGATTCTGACAGCTCAGCACTCTTGCCTCAGCAGAGCCCGCAGACATGTCTGATTACGGCGCTCCAGCTCAATTAATCCCTCGGGAAGGCATAGGAAGTTGCAGAGTGATCATTAACTTCACACGCAATGAGAGAGATGCTCAACAAGAACTGACAGAGGGGGAAGCGGCTGTGATCTCGGGCCCCGCATCCTTCAGCAAGACGCACTGCGCCCTGAGACTCCATCTACCTGCCGAAAGAAGGGTGGGAGGGGAGGGAAGGCAGTTCCCAGAGTCTGTCAGGGAGGAGGAGACCCGGGGAAGATGGCAAGTGGCTGCCAGCAAGCCCTGCTGCGGTCAGGCGAGACTCATCACCCGAGAGATCTGTGAGAACGAAGAGGCAGAGCAGGCTTCAAGGGCTCTGTGCTGAGCGTGACAGGGAAAGGCGCCACCCCACCCGTAACAACGCAGCCCCTCCAGGAGGCAGCAAGCACCAATAAAGTCACGTTTTACTACTCGTCAGTGGCGCTTGGCTCCTTGAGTGCATGAACAACCATCATTCCAAGCACACGGCTCATGGCTGAGCTTTGCTGGGAGAGATGAAGGCGCCGGACACAAGGAAAGGAGACAGAGCTCCATGTGTATGGAACAGAGCAGAGTAGCTGGCTCAGGTACTGGGGCTGCCAGGGCCAGGGTTCAAACCTGGATCTCCCCCCACAGGAGGCAGCGAGCCATGAGAGATAGAAGAAAACAGCTCTGTGCTGGAGATAAGTCAGGGTGGGGTACGGGGGGGGGGGTCCCTAGAAACACTGCCCCAGCATCAAAGCAGACACTTGGGAAGAACCATCTCTCCGCCTAGAAGGGCGCCAGGCAGGTTTACACAGCGCAGAACACGCGGCCGAGACGCAGTAAGGCACCAGACTTGGGTTAAGTGCTGCTCGCTCCCCTGCACACAAAGGGCCAATGCTGGCAGAGCACCAGGGATGGAAGGTGCCTTCAGCAGCATGGGGAGGGGAGACCCCAGAGGGAGAGCGCACTCTGTGCTCTCCCCGGCCTTAGGAGAAGCAGCCTCAGATCAGTTACAAAGGGAGCTGGGGCACTGGGATGGATAGACAGACTTAGGACCCTCCCCCGTTCCAAACACTTCTCACATTGTGGCATGGCAGGCCTGAGAGCTCCCGTGCGGTGAAGGGAAACAGCAAGCCGTGCCCCCGCCGGGTGCCACAGATCGAGGGCAGGCTGAGCCGCTGTCCACCCAGCAAGGGACTGACACAGCATGGTCCCACGCCCGCAGACACGAGGCCAGCTCACCTGCTAGCAGGAAGGTGATCAGGCAGGTTTCCTTTGGCATGTACAGCTTGAGCCGAGAGCCGCTGAAGACGTACTCCACCACGGCCTCGGAGCGGCCGGCCCGCTGCAGGAAGGGCAGGAACTGCTTGGCCTTCTGGGTGTCCTGGGAGGGCAGGAAAGGAGAGAGGACATTAGAGACTGATGGTGGGAGCGGGAACCCACATCCCCATAGGACAAGGCACAGCAACCTCACATCAGCCAGTCACACGACCCCTGGCCTGGACTGGCGAAGGATCGAACCCTGAGCCTTGGCCTCTGAGCACAGGTCCCTGCCACTCAGGCCAGAGGCTGACGCCTGCTGGCAGGGGGCAGAGAGGCTGACGAACCTGGGGCCACCAGCCAGAGGGGACAGCAGCACTCGGCCCGTAACGAGTCACCATTAACACGGGGCTTGGCCTGCCCAGTGCTGTACCTGGCTGGCTGGGAGACTCTCCTGCCTCGCACAGCACTGCCCGGGGCTGGGAGGTGGAGAGTCTGCCCCAGGGAGCCAAGCCCTGCTCCCAGCCCCTGGCAAATGGTGGGGTCAGCCCCCGGCATGTGAGGTAACACGGCAGGCACATTTGTGCTAGGAGCTCCTCCAGCTCTCACAAGACACTTGGGCAGGGAAGGGGAGAGCTGAGTTTCCTGGCGGGGCAACAATCAGGTACTCCTGCCCTGCACCCCACAGGCACATGGCAGCAAGTCACGGGTGTGGTACTCGGCCCTGCTGGGGAACACGGTCACTCCGACGCCCAGCTGCATGCAGGCTGCAAGCAGTGCTGTGGCCCAAGCTCCCTAGTGGGCAGCAGCGCCAGGGCCCAAACCGCCCTGGCTAAGCACCAAATGCCACAAGGCCTTGCACTGCCCTGACCAGCCCCTTATCTCACTGACAGTGATTCGAGTCTCCAGCGTGACCACCTCTCCTTCACCCACCCGGCAGGACAGCCAGCGGGGAGCCGAGCTGACCTCGACACTGGGGTCTCCAAGGCCGTGTCTCCAAGGCCGGACACTTTTATGGGGTAGCTGCCCTTCGCCCTTCCCCCCGTCCCCGGCCTGGGACCCTGCCATTTGGATCCTTACGGCTTGGCTTAAATCCCTTCCAAAGCGACACAAGCTGCACGGAGAAAGGGCAGCTCTTCCCCCGGACCGGGAGGGCTGGGACTACACTGGGGTAACTAACTGGTTCAAATGCACCCGAGTTTGTATGGAAAATCTTTCCTGCATAGACAAGGCCTGAATGCAGACTTGGAGCTGGGCTCCCGTAGCCTCCTTCCCCAGGTGATGAGGCTGCTCGGGTCAGGTCTCAAACTGCTCCAGCGAGCCAGGGCAATAGACCCGAGAAACACCCACGTGTCCTGCCAGCTGCAGGGCAGCATCTGGGCACGAGTGGCCTATGGTCCTGGGGGAGTCCCTGCCAAATTCAGCCCCAGGAATCCAGGGCCCCTAGGGAAACCAGCTGCTCATGATCCACGGAACCCATTGAATGCTGGGAGTACATTCAGGACTGAGTAGATACCAGTACTGTCTCAGTGTTTCCAGGTGCTCCCCCATCTGTCTGTCTCCACCTGTCATCTCATCTCATACTCCGATCAGGAGCTCTCTGGGACAGGGGCCGGCGTTTCATCCTGTGTTTGTACAGTGCCTAGCACAATACAGGCCTGGCTCATGGCTAGGCTCCCAGGCGCTATGCTAATACAAATAATCTCTAACAATGCTCAGTTATCTACCTGGCCCCACAGTCTGTGCACCTTGATCCAGACAGCTCCCCGTGACCTTGGCACAGTGCCTGGCCTTCCTCAAGGAAGGAGGCTGCGTCTCAGGACCTCTGTGCTGCGAGAACACGCTCTTCCTGTCAGGCTCAGAGCCACCCAAGGGTTCCCCTCCCCACCCATCACGCGAGATGCCCTGTTTCATTTGTTTAAGACACCGCAGCAAGAACGCAAGTGCCAAAATCCTATGCAGCCCCCTGCCCTGACTAGCTAGCTTCCCGCTAGTCATACGTTCGTATCTCTTTCCTGCCCTAGACAGGTCCACGCTTACTTCGAGCACTGGTGTGGGCGGATAGGAGGGACGCCAGCTGGCCTGGAACACCCAACTCCAGCAACCTCTCACCCCCCGTTAAACATAACCCGGTGCTGACGCAGCTCCCAGTGGAGCAGCAAGTGCTTCCCTTTCACAGGGAATCTGGCCTCAACTGAATATCGCACTTTGCTGCCTGCTCCGCTCCTAGCAACAAGCCACTGTGTATAAATTAATGCATATTGGTTAAGGAAAAGTCAGCACGCCATGAGCAATGGTCAGTGGTGGCGGAGGGACTCAGAGTGCCTGGTGAAACGCGTGGCAGCACCACACTTCAATGCCTGGCACGCTTTCATCGGACAGGCCCAGACATTGAGGGAGGGCTCAGAACAATATTTACAGTAATGGGACTCAGTGTCCTTCCAAACCGACCCGTCACAGCAGGAAGACAATCTCCTCCCAGATCACTGCTGCTTTCCTCGATAGAAGCCAGAGCAGACCTGTAGCCTAAGTTCGTGGAAAACTCCCACATGCCCAACTTCCCTCCCCACCCCAGAACGGAGCAGAGGCAAACAGGACAAACACCCAATAGGTCAGAAAGCACCAACAGATTAAGACCATTTGCTAAACAGGCTTAAAGCTCAGGCCATTATTCATAGGCTGGGCCTGTAATTTGGGAATGCATTACCTAATTGATTATCTCAAATCGCTAGGTTATTGACTTATTTTGAACCGGAGGCCTCAGCCAAAAACTAAGCAATCTGTACATTTCAGACGCAAGACACTAAACGTCACGGGCTTCTGATTTATTTCACCCAGCAAAAAAAAGCTGTTCCTAAAATAAAACGCAGCCAGGTGGCTTTTCATTTCACTGTGTCCTTAATTTAGAAAAATGAACTGCAAAGGAAGGGAAGGGAGAAACTCGCTGCAGCCAAAAACTTTCTTCCCTTCAGTAACAGCTTGGATCTAGTTCACTGAAGGGCTGCCTGACCAGACTGCCAAAGCAGAGACATGGATGGAAACTCACTAGATCACAGAAATAAAATCAATAGGCTGTTCCCAAGATCCGTCCCCACCGCTGAACGGCTTGCACTGCAGAAAAGGACTTACTGGGAAGGAGCCGGGGCATTCAAAATGCCATATTTTATGGCAAAGGTTAGAGCAGAGAGCTCGCTGCTCCAGCTATGGGACTTGAATGTAAATTGGAACCAGCTCCCCTACTCGGAAACTCATTATTTCCAACGCAGTCAGCGAGCGAAAAGAAATGGCTATCTGCATACGTTCCTTAGACCAAAGTGCAAGCCAGGCTGCGATTACACGCCCGCATGTCACTCCAGGAAAATTAAGTGGCAAGGGGAGAGTGGGAGCAGAGCATACTTTGACAACAGCTGAATCCCGACTGACAACATGCGTCCGCACCTCTCAGACTCTCATTAACAGGACGCGACCTTCAGCATTTCAGATGTGACCAAAAAAGAAACCAAGAAGGGACCGGGAGAGTGGAGGCAGCCATAAATCTTTGGAGCAAAGCCTCTGCCACAGAACAGCAAGAGGTGCTTTGGCAGTGGCATGGCAGATTAGCCTTGAAGATGGGAAGAAAGGAGAATATCGTGGCCCATCTGGATCTGCCGATCCCCAGGGGCACAAGAGAAGCGATGACAGCATCCCGGCATTAGCAGCAGGCAGCTGATGCCGAGCTAGGCAATAACAATGCTTTGCACTCCAACTGTACAGCAGCTCACCAGAGAGGAAGGACGGCCCAGCGGTTAGAGTTCTAGCCTGGGATCTGAGTGATCTGGCATCAATTCCCTGCTCCACCACTGACTCCCTGTGAGGCCCTGGGTGAGTCACTTAATCTCCCTGGTATAATAGCACAAAAGGTAAATGCACTGAAGCTTGTGTGACACTCAACTGAAGGGGGCTAGAGAAATACCTGTGTCGGGCCTTAGAGTGCTGTACAGACACTGAACCCCACGGGAGCCCAGCTCCCCTGCAAACCGGGCCAGAGGTCACACCGGGAGCCTGGATTAGAACCCAGGGGTCTTGACTCCCCATCCATTGTTTCCAGGCACTAGACTACACAGCCTATAAGCCGCCTCACGAGAAAGTCGCAGGGGGATGTGGAAGTTGTTCTGGGTTCCCTTGACTCGGGTTGGAGTTCTTCAAGGATCTGACTCGGGATCGTTCCCGTTTAGATAGTTTCATTGATGGCCTTGGCACAAGAAGGAGTGCGCTAACGAAATGTGCGGACAACCCCACGTTGGTAGGCATCGTCGATACAGAGGAGGATTGGAATATTGGTGGGAAGGCCTTGAGACCTGGCTTAACAGCAATGGGGTGAAATGTAAGAGCACAAAGAGCAAGGGGCTAACAACAAGAATGTCTGCTATAAGCTCAGGACTCATCGGGTGACAGCCACAGAGGAGAAGAGGCGTTGGCACGTGGGTCGATCACAGATGACGATGAGCCACCGATGTGACGCAGCTGTCAAACAAGTAAGTGCAATCCTAGTGTGCATCAAGCGAGGGACGTGTTTATGTCATTGGATAAAGCACTGGTGAGCCTTCCTCTGAAATACAGTTCATCACCAACCGGAAAGGTCCAGCCAAGGGCTACTAGGATGATCCAGGGAAGGGAGGCCTGTCTTACAAGAGAAGCCTGGGAGGGCTTGGCTTGTTTGGCCTAGCACAATGCAGGCTGAGAGGGGATCTGACTGCTCTCTACAAATACAGCAGGGGTAGACACTGAAGCTAAAGGACAATGTTAGCACAAGAGGAATCAGGGATAAACTGGCCAGGAATAAATTCAGGCTGGAAACGAGAAGCAGGTTTCTAACCACCAGAGGGAGGCAGGCTCTGGAATAGCCTGCACTAGGCATTGTGGGGGCTAACAACCCAGCTTGGTAAATTTGTGAAGAGAACGATAAGCTGGGGCTGCCTATGATCGCATGGTCTGGACTCAATCCCTTCCAGCCCTACATTCCTAACTCACTCCTTTACCCTCCCTGTAAAGGCCCCCCCCCATTGGACCAACCTCCCCTCCCAGCTGGAGGCTGATGGAGACTGTACTTCGGCTTCCCTTTCTACTCATGGCAGTACCAGGAAT